TATATACATATATGGTGCATTCATGCTGCTGTGGAAAGATTTTAATATGGGGAACCCCTATTTGTTGGTAGAATTTTAACGGGCGTTTCAGTCAATGAGACGAGCTGTAGTGAGTGACCACAACTGGAGTCGTTACTTTAGTTGCAGCCCTTTTAATTTTTTGTTTTGAAAAAAATATCCAGCAATTACTTTTCATTAACGTTTTGTTTTCTTGAGATACGCCAAAGTCCTTGTGGATCAGCTCATGAATAGATTACACAAATGCGCATTGTATATTTATATATACAAAGTTTTGGAAGTTCAACGAAGTAGAATAATTATCCGATCTTTCTGTACTGACTGAACCTTTCAAAGATTGAAAATCTTTTTTGTTCCCGAAATCGACGGCCAATTTTGTGCGGTTCCTCTGGGGAAGACTTTTATGGGACGAACCGGAAAATCCTAGATATGGTTTGCATTTGAAATGCTCGAAAATGAATCAACAGATCTCAGAAAGACAGTCTTGATAAACCTAGGCTTTTGATAGAGTAATTAACCGCCGTTTTGGGGAGGAGAATGTTTATTCCTAATTAAGTCACTCGGCTAGGCTTTAACTGTTATGCCTGTAGAAACTTTCTGACAGTTCTGAGTCCCGGTATTTATAGGACTCTTGGCCTGCTAAGTTCAAAGATTAATTTTACCGCAATATTTTCTTTATCCAAATGACACTCCACGTAGTTTACACCTACCAATCAGCGCGCGGCTATTATTAGAAAGTTATTCGGGAATCGAATGGGAAATGATCAACAAGTCGTTTCGGGTCTCGTATTGAAGCTGTGGATGGTGGCTAGGCTGGATTGAGTAGACATGACAGTCAGGAAGTGGAAATTTACCGCCGTATTATCATGCAGCTCTATGTTCATGAAGTCATTCGTCTCTTGAACAAAAATCTACGAGGGCACTTTATCTGCATTACCTAACCGCAAACATAAATAAATAAATCTTCTAAAAACCCTGTCCTCTTTTTCATTTTAAATTATATTACGAAACTCTGCACTAAATATAATTAATGCATATTGAGTAAATAAAATTAAAGCCTATCGTGCAGTCCTTAAAATACATTCATTTTATCTCGGTGAATTTGCATAAATATATAGCGGTCATTCATATAAACTGGATCGTATTATCGCTGATATTTTGGTTTGGCTTTACGGCTACAAAGTTACTTCTAGAAAATGTTTACAAATATAAAATAACTTCGTTATAGTGACCTCGCCACTATCATGGGTCATAAGATGCTAGACACATGATCAAGCGCGCACTGCATCTCCCAATTTATATTTGCCCGCCATCAACCGAAGCGGACATCTTCCGGGCGAAAATGTTGTGTGTCGAAGCGCCCTCTGCACAACAATTTAAATACTCTGTCATCTAACGGACAGCCAGGGCTGTCAACGATAACAGCTCTCTGCGCTAGTACCAGTGTAGGCATTAGAGTCTCGGATCGCCTACTGAGTGTGTGAATGTGTCTAAGTTTTGTTTCGAGTACTTCTCTCTCTCACTCTCTCCTTCTCTCTCACACACTCTCTCTGTCATTCTTCTCTCTTCCTCTCTCCATTTGTGAAGATTGAAGGCCCCCCCAATCGTTTCACTTTCGTCTCGTGGATTCGCGCTCACCATCGTCACGTTAACCGTCGTTACGTCGGGACGAAATCGCAGAAGGTCAAAGAGCGCTTGCTTAATCGAGACCGCAATGCCGCAGTGGACAATAATTGCTTACCGCCAATCTCTCTATTAGGTACGGTTGTTTCAGCCGAATTTCATTGGACAGACGCACAGTAAATGAACAGACATCTTGTTGTCAGACGGTACAAAACATCTCTCGATTAAATAGTTCTTGTGGTGAGCTTCGGTCAGCGTTGCGGCTTAATCCGCCTGCGAAAAAGCCTTTAGGATGTAAAGGTTGGTAATCTTAGTCGAGTATCAGTCATTACGCTCTATTCCACAGTCGTAGTAGCAGCTCTGCTGCAGATCTTTACGCGTACATATCAGCCTTTAACTGGAGCTATCGCCGTATTCTTTCCCAGCTGAGTGCTGCTGGCAACGATGTGGACATGCTGGCTAGACAGAGCTAGGGGATCGATAATCTGCGGCTCTATGGATATCTATTGAGTTTCTTCTGTTTTATATTGTAGATCTGATTGTTTGAGTCTACTAGTATATTTAACAACGGTATGGTTGTCACCGATAGCTCTTGCTGGTTTATTGATAACCCGTCAGAGCTGAAATTGTTCAGGTCGCTTCCATTATCAGTGCTATGGCGTACAATAATATACGTCAAGTAAGCGGTATTAGTGAATAGTCTTGTGTATTTTTGATGTTATGGTGTACTAGGATGGATGTGTACATCTCTTAGCTGGGCGTTCATTGCAGCTGCTGCGTTCGCACGGTAACGTGCTCTCTCGGACCAGCTGCCCAGCAAGAAGTCATACAGAAGTTAATTATCGTCTGGGGCATTGCTGAAACTAAAGTAACAACAGAAGATATTCCACCCATTTATACCCAGTTACGAATAGTTTGCCACTGCAACTCGAAATGTGTTCACGTTTATTTCAAAGCTTGCCCCCACATTGTGCTGATTTTTAGTCCGTACATGTAGATAGATTTCTTGAGTTGTGGTAGAAGATATTAGTAAATTTGCATTTTGAAATCTATAGTCACAAAAGGATCGAGTGTAGTTTCGCTTCTGTTAACGTGGACCTGTTACAAGTGGAATTAATGTGAATTAATACCACTTATTAGCAGTACTGTGTTCCACACTGGGAAGAACCCAAAGGAACTTACAGAAGCAAAAAAAAACAAGAAACATTTAATATAATTTGTAGGCCACAGATAGAATTTCCATATTTAAACAGACGTTGCTCTCAAGTTCTTACGTAGTGATATGGCTCTAGCAGGCTATACTTCGTAGCACGCATGCTTTGTCTTTGATAGGAAATTTAGTTGGCAAAAACGTTTTATTTCTACGATGTGTGAAACCAATAACCAGTAATGTCTGGTAATTACATAATTCTATGTCATTCATAAAACTTAGCTTATAATCATAATTATCTCAGCAACCTTTTCGGGATATCATGTTCATTTGTTATCTAAGTGAGAAAAAGTTATTATGGAAGGTTGATGGAGAACTCTGCTAAATGATATGACTGCTAGATGCTAGATTCATTACTGTTTGAAATCAACAGTGAAGCTGCTTTATTTATTACTTTCCTTACTAAACAGTCTGATGGAAAATAAACAGGTCCTAACAGCAGAACTTACTGCATGAACTTATATTAATATATTTTTTTCATCATAGCTATATACCATTTCAGAATAATTTCAGTAGAAAAAAAGTTATTCAAAACTAGATGTGATGACGCAAAATTTTCCTACGAGATTAATATCGTATCTCTGTTGTAGGTTCATTGATGGCTCTCCGTCCACTGCATAGCAATGGATAAATCGTGCCTCCAGCCGATGTTTTTAATTTCTCTTAATTTCTAATGTCGCAGTCTTTCACGAGCAAAATAATAGCGCACCTGTACTTACTTGAAAAGAATGGTGCCTACGAGTACTAGTCAGTGAACTTTTTAGTCGTCTTAACAATAAACCCAGTGGGACTAGCTTTTGTTTCAGGTGGTAAAGATGTAGCAGTTGAACTTGAATTTCTCAAACTGTATGTATGTTCAGTAAACTTTAGTTCGAGTCCTTCCTGTACTAATCGTGTCAAACTCGGAATACCTCTATCCACATTAATTCACCCATGTGTAAGTTGTAACAAAAGTGACTCTCCGCACCACTTGATAATTATTTGCCACCATCGCCCGCGACCTCATCTAACCTATTGTGGCATTAGAAAATAATTGTTACAGCCGAAAATGCTTCACGTTACCTCGTTACCAGCGGTCTAATTTTAATGCAGATGGCCTGAAAAGTTTGAAACTTTTTAAATTGATCGTGGAATACCAGAAATTGGTATTGTGGAAGCTTTGTGGCTGATGTTCTGTAGGATATGGGTTGTTGTGCCTCCGCGTCCACTCCAGTCGCCTCGTTGTGATGTCAACTGGGTGATCTAATATGAATTTAACGGTAATCTAAAGGGCACTTATTATAATAACGTGTTATGCGTACAGGCATTCCATAAAGTACCATGTATTTTATCGTGTACAAGCGCGCATAGAGACATTTTAAATGTGAAAGTCGCTCATGTTGACAAAACACAGCCTTCCGCAATCACCTGTAGCATCTTCTTCCAGCTGTCAATAGAAAAGGCTTGATCTGTATCAGTGAAGTTACCTCTACTTACAAAAGAGGGCGCTAGGGGTAATCCGATGGTGGATTGGGCACATGCGGTAGTTGTCATTTTTTACTCACTACTGCAATAGCAACAGCTAATACTATAAAAATTTATTAGATAATGGTGTATACGATTCGATCGACTTTTTCACGTTGTTAATTCTAGTGGAAATATAAAAGATGTAAAACATATCAATGACTCCTTTTTCCTGTCCGAATGTTTTGTCTTATGCATGATTTTAGATATGGCTGAAGGGTGTGGCGCGAATGGATCTCGTTTTTTTGCGATAGTATTGTTACGGTCAAGGTTTTCGGATGATGCTTCTATACTTGCGTGTCCTTCGCAGAGCATTTCTAATGTAATTCTACATTGTACTGCTCATTGAAGTTTGCTAGCAAAGACAATTAGTTTACTCAAAGAATACTGCGTATTTGTGTATGCGTTGTATGTCAGCAAATAGCATATAAGGTTTTTGGCAAGGATCTACTTTAACTCGTACTTAGCCATGGTGTTCATTGATCTTCACTCAAGGGTTGCGCTTACCGTTACCATGTGCTTGGCATTGGTAGAATGCCTTTTTTCATTTTTGAATTAATTTTTTCGAAACACCCTTTTAGAACCGCTAGCCCTGTCTACAAAATGTTAATGAGCAATAACACCAATTTGCTTGGTCCACCTCATTAATGACGGTTCTTGCAGTCTGGTATCATCTTGGACATGCTGGTTCGTTCCTGAATGTATACCGTTGCATTGAAATACACTCACGCGTTATTATTGTTTTGTATTGGTCACTTGTAGCTAACATAACGTGTTGTTTTCTATCATGTTAGCAATGCGATATGTGAAATTTTAATTGAATTAGGAAAAAAAATTGCGGTTACCTTATTGCGTATACTTAGTTGTTTGGCCCAATGCGAAAATGACCCGATTTGGTCCAGTCATATGTTGCTGTTGTTGCTTATTTATCAATAACATGTAAGATAGATTAATCTGCCTCACAAGAGACACGTAACTGACCTCATGTTAGAGGAATAATCGTTATCAAAGGATCTAATCCAAAAAAATGCTAACATTTGTCTGTGTAGGATTATTTTGTCATCACATCATAACGAGCTTTGTTCTTCTGTGTTTGTTATCATCTTCGACTAGATTTCGGTTAGGGAACATATCGTCAATGGGAACAGACATTGTTATTTTGCCTACGTCGTTTTGCTGATCTCAATTATAGGCTGATTTAAGTAACGATGTGCTGGGTCGTAATGTAAGATACATTTGTACAGCGTATAAGGTTTTCAAATGATACGAATATAATCATTTATTTGACCTATACATGTTTACTACAGGTCATCGTCGTTCTTTGGAACGGTGATCTGGGCCTTTGTAGGCCGGTGTACGATGGAGTTTGGTCCATTAATCGTTGGCCTGGTGTCGACGTTCTTCTTAGCTGCTGGCCTGCTCTGGCGCTATGGCCAACCCGGAAGGCATCATATGGCTGTTACGGCCAGTGTCTTCCTCGCCTGGTACTTCTCTATGCTCATCATTATTTTAATGCCACTAGATGTTTCATCGGTAAGTAAAAATTTCCCCATATTGTTAAATAGATACGTTAATTTAACCATATGGTACGTTTTCTTTTTCCTCATTTCATCAGTTCAGTGGCTAATTAGAAAAGTCATCGAACCGATGTGTCAATTAAATTTGTGATACCTTTGAAACGAATCAGATTAGGTTGTTATCATAGTGAGCGTCATTTACTATTAAGCGGTCTGGTTATTAGTTTTTCTTTGCGAACTTGTGAATTCGATGAAATAAAATTTTCACCTTCATTCATGCAACGTAATTTTGTCTTATTTTCAGAAAAGGCCGTGTTTTTATTGTGCATGGATGATGTAGAGTTCATGATGCTGGTAGCCTCGTAGTATTTGATGCTGGATGCCCCTTTTCCAGGGCGCAGCAGTCCCTTGCTCACCATCTGAAAGTGTGAAAGGCAAATTTCCACCATAGTGGATAGTGAAATTCGTTAACTACTTTCAACTTTTGAGACTGTGAAGTAAATAAATGTAAAAAAAAAGTAGCTAATTCTCGTTGCTAAACCTCTTGTCTATCCGTTCCTTTTGAAACTCTCTACTCCCTTAATAATTGACGTACTAATGCAGCACATAACGTGCTTCACTTCACCACCTCAGTAGCAGTGGCTACGCCTCTCAGCTTCTCCTTGTGGTTAAAGCTCTATTTGACAAAAAGATACTTGATTATTTATTAAGTCATGTTTGACTGTGTGCTTTACAGACCGCGTATAAGCAATGCTTGACGTATCACAATCTGTCGGCGGTACCACCTCATGAAGCTCACGGACCTCATGCTGCAGCTCTCACTTTGCAGCTTCGAGCTTATGCTGGACCGGCAAATTTTAGCGGGAATGATTCTACGGCGTTCGACGTGAGGACCAGTACGACAAGCTCTATGCACCAAACGAACGATCAAGCAAACGGATCTGGTCTGGTTCTTGTGCTAGTAAATTTAATTCAAATTGAGTCAGTTGTCCATATTTACTCGCTTTGATCTTTGTGTTTGTAAATACTTGAGTTTAATCTAATATATGCATTAATAGTCGAATGCAAGAGGTATGCGCAGATCATAATATTGCCGGCGTATTATCACAAAAGCAACTTACGTTCATCTGTGTTTCGTGATATTCAGTTATAACAAGTAATCGCAGTCCATCGCAAGTAGTCGTCAATTCAACTTCGTTGGGAGCAGGACCAACCGAGAGCAACGCGTCCCCTGCTGGGAACGTAACAAATCCACCGTACGCGTTGCCGGTGGACCCAACACATCCAGCAGGACCATTACATCCGGTTTTGCCTTCGTCGTCCATCCTCCCACATCCCATTAACGATTTTTGCCCGAAACCCTGGAGTCGCGTTCCGGATGACGCGTTTCCTGTGCTTTGGAGAATTGTCTACTGGAGTTCACAGCTTCTTACGTGGTCTGTTGTATTACTAAAATGTTCTCACTTCTATTTCCGGCACTGCCCTTAAGCACTACAATATACTAGTTGGAGTGCTTTTTGTCAAATGAGCAAATTTGCCTTCCCTGAGTGGTGCTCTCCGTATCACTGTGCCATATTGCTTGCATATAACTTTCAGGATAATTCTTCCACTAATGCAGTCATATTCGACCGCCGGAGATTTTACTACATCCGGTAAACTGAGGACCGCGCTTTATGAAAATGCAATCTACTACGGGACGTACCTTTGCATCTTCGTTGTGCTCCTTGTTTATCTCATCATTAACGGCATTGGTCTGGACGGGTAGGAAGCGACTTGACACATGTAGATATAACGTGTACATTCGCCCACAAACATAAGTATTAAATAGATGTCAAGTATATTAATGTGCGTACATCGGCAAAGGTACCCATATCGCGTCTGCCATACATGACTATTACAATATGCTAGTAAGTTCTCTTATTTTTCTAGGGGGAAGCTCAAAGTACTACTAATTACTGCGTCAAACACGTGGGGTCTTTTTTTGCTAGTCCTACTACTGGGTAGCGGATTGGTCGACGTGCCCCGTACAATGTGGAATCTCTCCCGAAAAGGCTATACACTAAGGTAATGTGATCAGGCTTGCCTGGTCCAGTACATAAAGGCATATCTGACAATTGGGTTGAGAATCACAGCAGAGTTATGTCGTATCCAATAATTAAACAGTTCATTTCTAGACGTTTCCCTAGAGATAGATTAGCTAGCGTCTATAGAGTAGATGCCTACACTGATGACTAGTTCCCTATAACTGGAATGTACAAGTATACAATAACCATCTGCTGGATAGGGCGAAACAAAATCCGCAAGTGAGTATCAACAGTGAACCTATCCAAATATCAGTTTTATAGTCATTATTATATATATTATTGGTAATCATTGTCGTACACGGCAACGTTCAGCATGCTTCATGCACCATTGTTCGAATCTGATGACTGATCTTTTCAGGTATCTTTATTTCAAAGCCGCAAAATTGTCAATGGAAAAATGTGAAACCGAAGAGAGGCTGGATGACGCTATTGAGGTTCGTACGAAGCGAGCTCTAGCTATTTCGAAGCCATTTCATGAAGCTTCAGACAGTTCATCAAATAGCTTTCATTCACTATAATCGTGGATGGTCTAGTGTGTTTATCTTTGCACTGAAGCAAAAATCTTTCCAATTTATTAACAACTCATTGCTGCACTGTTTATTTCACTCCGTAGTTCTCAATGCGCAATTGAGGTTTGTGTGAAAGCTCGTAGACGAAAAAACGGATATGTGACATTGCTAGGAGAGTATTGTTGATAGTAGTAGTATTAGGTATTGGTATCGATGTTTATTATTCGGACCTCGATTGTGCAGGAGCTTCGTCAGGTGAACAACTGTATCACTATGGGCAGCCCCTTGAGGCGGTACGTCGACGTGATAATTTCCCGGATTCCCCGCGCTAAATGGGAGGATACTCGTCGCAATCGTACCACAGCTTCGGGCGCGAGTGTCTCAGAGAAAAGCCTCGTTAGATTACATAAGCAGGTACGTACAATGCCGCAGCGACCAATTGATATGTGGAGGAAACGCAATGTATAGTGTACATGATACGAGATAATGGCGCTTGCCAGGTATATCACTAGCGGTAGCGAATCAGCCATAGTCGCTCATTCTGCACCATGCATATATTTATAACCGTAAGATTTAATCAATAATTGCATAAAACACAATTAGATAGACACTGATATCATTCTGCAATTTCACAAAATGAATGAGATTTTTATGAATCAATCGTGCGCGGTGTTCGATCAACAGGTAATCAAAGCAATGCAGGGTGTCAATCGAACACAGGTCCAATGGGATCAGTTGCTTGCAGACATACTTTACTGGGAGGACATTAGCAAAAATGAGGCTAATGTAGAGCGACGTTTCAAAAGCTCGCTCGACTATCGGCCTCGAGGACAGCTGACGAAGATGTTCTGCACTCCGACCGTGGAATGGTATTGGCGATGCCTACTCCGAGCCGTACTGCTTCGAGCATTGGCTGTCATATTCGCCGGCTTCACTATTCTGATCATGTTCTCTGAAGTGACGTTCTTTATTCGCAAACCGCTAATTTCCGTTGTCGGTATTATTCACAGGTTGGTAGATTTACAAATGTCGAAGTAGTTTATAGGCTGAGGCGTTAATATTGATTAATAGAGGTTCTCAAAGGCTCACATTGCTACTTAGATACGAAGTAGTAGCTATATAGAACTCGTGCTTTCCTTTACAAGACGTATTTGTTCTTCATAGACATATCGCATCGTCTTTTCAAGTACAAAAAAAAAGAGAGAGAGAGAGAGAGAGAAAAATACATTTTTGTTACATGCAGATTGCGGGGCCGACAACTGTATTAATCGGTATGCTTTCGAATGTATTGTACTGTGTGTTTTTGTTCATGCAGCTCGCTCGAAACGTCGTTTAGTTATTTTGGTCTTGAGGTTTTCAGTGCGACGACGCTGGGCTACCTGTGTCTTTGCACGTATTACACGCTGTTCAAAATCCGTATCTTCAATCTCTACTACCTTGTACCGCATCAGCAGACCAGCGAATATTCTCTCATTTTCTCTGGGATGTAAGTCTTGTATAGGTTACATTGTTTCCTATGCATTAGACATGCAATAAACGGTCTTTTCGTTGAAAGCCTTTCCGATGCTTCCTCTTTCTGTCGCATATTACGAATAGCTTCATTCTACGTCCATCTTTTTAATTACAGGATGCTGTGTCGGTTGACGCCGCCATTATGCCTAAACTTTTTGGGCATGACCCACCTAGATCAACATATTTCGCGAGAGCCGGACCGGGTCGAAACGGCTTACACGAAGATTATGGGCCACATGGACGTGATATCAATCGTTTCAGATGGTTTCAACGTGTACTTTCCCATGCTGATCTGCGTTCTCGGTGTAGCCACGTACCTGAAATGGGGTTCAAAAATTGTTCACGCATTGGGCTTTGAGCAGTTCCTTGCCGATGATGATCTTACGATCGATTTGGTTGACGAAGGACGTGACCTTGTCAAAAGAGGTACGTTCAGCTCCTTCTAGTAAATACTCATATAAAACTAGAACAAGACAGTTAAAGCAGCTTTTTCGACATTTTTCATGACTCAAAATTGTTTAAAGTTTTGAATAACTTTTAACGAAACAGAGTGGCATTAATATCATTCTTCAAAGAGGATAATATTGTTCTATATTAGAGATTAGTTTGTTTTAGTCAATTAAGCACTAGGGCAAAGCTTGCTTGTCTCTAAGCTCGTTCACTTTTTTCTCATGTTGCTTTATAGAAAAGAACCGTCGGCAACGCCAGCTGGAGAACGAGATTCGGCGACGTCAACGGTTGCAGACAGCTCCCAGCCAGGAATTTAGTCCTGGCACTTTAGGAGGGGGCGGCGTCGGTGGAGGCGGAGGTGCAGGATCCGCGACAGGAGAGCCACGCAGTGAGTAGGCGGCGTGATCTTTCTGTCTATCAGCAGAATCTGCATTTCTGCTTCTGTTCTGCTGTGCCACTCTTCCGGATGCTGATGTCAGCTGCTGCTGATACCACCACTACTACCGCTGCTGATGGAACCCCGGTGACCGCTTGCTTGTCATTTGCTTTGCTTTCGGTGTGTAGTAGAATTGATAATTATGCTTTTACAAGCCGGTGAATTCCTAGGTGTATCCTAGGCACAGAGGCACCCCAAACTCATTATTTCTAAAGGCAAGTCCAGACAAGTGTGATTCATGCACGTGTTATAGATTTTGCTTCGGGACAAATGGTCTTCCGTTATTTTCCTTAATACCGATACCCAATCGCGCTATCGTAAGCGCCGCGTCGGATCGGTCCACTGATTCCCTGTAATTCAGGTTGCGTTGAGCTTCCTGTTATCGTTGTATCCTTTTTACTTCATTTAAACCCTAACTTTTTTGCACAAGAACTTGTACATGCACAAAAACGCTTGAATTTAATTTCCTATGCAAGAAAATATCTGTTAAAAATCTTTTTTCCTAATAATTTTCTAATGTCAAGTAACAGTAAACAATGGTCCATTAAAATAGTGACTAACATATCAGTTTGATATTTTTAATGTAACGTATTAACCTATGGTTTTCAATGCCGCATGAGTTCATAACTAATTTTGGCTGATCATTTGTTATAGATAGCTAAACTACCTATATATATATATATATATATATATATATATATATTTAAACCTTAACTAAAAGGTTGGTTGTTTTGATCATTTATAAAATAGCGAATTATAAGGGCGTACTTTAAATTTAAAAAGTTTTTTTGAGATAACAATTAATCAAATACTGATTTTATAAGCGCACCCTATATAGAATGTGTCTATATATAGAAATGTAAATTTGTTCCCTCGATCCCAAATGCCCTTGAAGCATCAAACACGAACAAATTGGCTTAAGTTTGTTGTTGCCTCTACGTTCAACTTTTTTGGTTTAGGGTAAAAGAAAAGTTCACCTAAGTTGCCTCTTGAACTTATGAAAATTGTACTAAACTGCCATAGCGAATACGCATACGTAAAAGCCTACCCTCGCCACACCCCAAAAGCAACGGTTTTGCGTATTAACATACCCATTGACGTTGAAAACGGGCTTTATCAGATGATATTTTTTTATCGTGTATATGTCATTTGTCGCGAGATCAGTGGTTGTTCTTATATCGTAAAAGGCCTCTATGAACGCGGTTCGCTCTGCCACCGTGAACAACATGTGGAAACAAGAGTCCTCAAGCGTTAGAGATAGAGACTCTCCCTTCCTGCCATATCATTCTTCTTAGAAAATTCTTGTCGGTTTATAACATGTTCAGTTGATAAGGTAGCCTGGGCATTGAGTGGCATATGCTTACATTGATTGTTATGAGAGATATTTGACGGCTGATAAGTTCCCCTTTAGAGACTTTGTTAACTCTACCTGAGCTGGTATCCTTTAGCTGTGAACGCGCACGTTGTATATAGTATGGCTTATGGAATATCCAAACTTAGATCTCGAAAACACACAGTCAACTGACCAGCTTAATAATGCACTTTCTCTAGTTGCTTTTAGGATCAACTTAAAGTAACTTTTAAATCTTGTCGTTATCCTGTTACGTTTTGTCTGCACAATTTAAGATTTCCAGGACAGAATGAATTTAGGTACGGCTATAAATATGGCTGTCAGCGAGCTAATGACTTCTACGAGTATTTTGTAACCAACGATTTTAATTATAGTTCGTCAAAAGATGCTAGATATATATATATATATATATATATATATATATATATATATATATATATAACACAGATAAAATTGTGCTTGAAATCTTTCACAGAAGCAATAAGAACGGTATATGCTATGAATATATGGATTTGCTTTCAAATAGGAACGCGGACGAACGTTATTGTTTACAGAAACTTCCGGTAAAGTACATAAAACATAACAGCAGTAGTCTTATGTGATAGATTATAGTCTAATCGATTGATGTTCTGAGGAGGCTGTCCTCAGTTACACCGCTAAAAGTGTCGCTAATATCGGTATTACAAAGAACTGTCCCTTTGCGTACCAGTAATTCTAATTTAATTATTCTGTTCGGAGCGACGTAGGGGCTACATCGATCTTCAAATATGATCATACCAATTTAGACGTAACGAACGAGTGTGTTAGGTAACCTCTACTTAAAAAACTTCACAGCATTAAAACATCGCATCCTTTTTTAGACCTACTGCCGGTGTCCTAAAATTCAAATAAATATAATAGAATGTATTGCATGTTCCTAAACTCTTTGTTGGCCTGCCTTATCGAATATCTTTTGTATTGAATTAGACATTTTCATAACGGCAGCCCACTTGATAACTATCATTAGGAATCTTCTTACAAATTATTCTCGCCACTCTAAGAAGAGCCGTATCGATCATTCACGAGTTCAGATTTAGAAATAGTTATTATGTTTTGTTTGTCTATGATGAATTGTCACTGTTTTGGTCCGATGTGTCGATTTACGAAGGCAAAGATAACTTACTTACGGGCTATGGATGATGCACCAAGGCACAGATCGATCACTGTGTACTTAATAATACAAGTTATCGTACTGAAATAATTGATAACTCAAACGTTCAACTAGCCACGTCAAATGTAGCAAACGTGCTATATAAGTTTTGATGAAACACTGGGCAGCAGCTAACGATGAGAATGAAAAAAGCGCCTCTCGTATAAGCCTACGTGAGCCTAAATGATTTTGCTTAAGCTAGTCACGGAACTGTGTCAAAAAAAAAGGCGTTCCACTGAAATCAGTTTGGTAAATCTAGCCACTTTTAGTTGACTACAGGTCCACTTAAGTTTGAAATAATTCAATTACCAGACTTTTCTATATTAGAAATCTAGACGACTGTGGCATTTTTTAATGTCACAAATCGAAAGACTCAACATAACTTTGAAGAGAAGTTATGTTGAGCGAATTCAATAGCATTACAGCGAGCTCCTACAAAGCTTCCAACAGATCGTACATGATGATGGAAGGATGTGCACTTTCACAAATAAAAACACAAAGCACTCTAATATTGAACATCGACTGACGCCAAGGTTTTTTTAGTGCTCGGTAGCTTTGCTCTTGTTTGCTCGACGGGCATTGCTGGTGATAGCATTGGCCCCTTCGCATACTTGCTTGTTTGAACTTGAAACAGAAGCCTGTGCTTGCTGGCTCGCATTCTCCAAGCTACCCAACAATCTCCAAGCTACCCAACAATCTCCACGCTTATCGACATCTGGTGGGAAATACGCTGAGTTCTTGACTAAGGTGGCATTGCCTAGATAAATATTGTCGCCTGACTGCGACTTCGATTACATTGTATACGCACTAATGTTACTATCGAGAAATAATCCTGGATATGTTTTCCTTCTAGACGGTCGTCCCGCCTTAAACGGCAACGGGTCTATGGAAAGCGCGCGTGCCGAGCTACTGGCCGGAGTCGGGGAGACTCCTGACTACAATTCCAGGGATCCACTCTCGCCTATGGATACACATTGGTCGGCGTCCAGACTACAACCACCGAGAAATATATTTGACGATGTCTGAAGTATCGCCCCTTCAAACGACAAGAACTTTCTTTTGATAGTAGCGGTATCAGCGAAAATGAAATTTTTCATTTCCACACCTGTGTGAGGGGATATGCGGCGTTTAAGTTCTACTTAGTTTCCCTATATAATCTCTCGTGGTTTTGAGGATTCTTACTGGCTGCTGACACGTACGTATGACAGTGAAACGTTAAAATGAGAGGTTGTTTTCAAAACTGATATCAATCCCTGTCTTTTCGCCTACATGATTCAAACTTAAGACAAAAGCGTCAGGTCGTGTTAGCAACTAACGGCCGTGGTCCTGCTGCACTATATGGTGCTAATACGGATAATACCAAATGATAATAAGATGTCAATTTGAAGCGTGTGTCACGCGCCGAAATAAATACGAAATTGATGAAGCTACGTAACGCCGAACAACCACAAATGCTGTCACTCTCGAAGAAGAATCGGCAACACACGTTAGTCTACTATCGCTCAACGAAGATCGTCGACAGATTCGATGATCGGCTTACTGTGTTCACTACCCTGTCAACTGTGTAGCTTGAAGACGCTGTTCATGGAATAAGTAGAGTTATTCCTCACTAACGAATGCCGTAATATAATCTCGTTCATCGACACGAGAGCTTGTTTTCTTCACTTCGACTATGTTACCAATATGCGTGGGCATATTTGGGTAGGCAAAATGCTTTACACGATAGCTATATGACAGGAATATCGTAATGCAGTGAAGACATTCTCTGCGTTGCTAAGAAAGATCTGTAATACTCTGCTAAATTTAGATTCTTCTCTTTTAAAAATATATCGTATATCACTCAGTAATATGTAGTAGATGAATTACCTATCGCATGGGCTCATTGCGACGAGAAAGCGTAAGGTTACAGCAGGCTCCAGCCGCCTCTCCTGTAACTCAATGAGATTTCCGAGTGTTCTTGTTCCACATTTACAATATTATCATTTCGACACGATACCACACGTATGCTCATACCATCAGATACCATGATCTTGCGGGAATGTTCGGAAATGCCTTACGGTGGATACAATCATCAAAGGATCTATGATGTTTGTTAATACACGAAGCTAATATTACGGAGCGTTACCATATTTCTCTGACTTGCCTGTACGTATTCGTGACACGGACTACTGTTTTGACTAAAGACGATCAGAAGGGAAAGACATTTTCTGGCGTCATTGTATAGATACTGTGCACGACCGAAATTTAGAATGATTGGCCTGAAAGCAAACATTGCCTTTGATTGTATACTTCATCGTATTGCTCGTATAGAAAAAGGACCATAAATGGCTTTCTTAGCGAGTCAAAGTGATGCGCGAATAAGGAAGGAATGTCTAGCAAAATTCTATAACAGAGACCCTTATGCGTTTTGAAGCAATGCAAATTGTACTAAACGTTTAGAAACTAGCGAGTCCAGTAAAAATTAGGGTAGGGTTTTTTTTAACTAAACGAGAGGCACGCGTGGAGTTCTGTTTTAGCCATCCCGTAGCATTGCAAGTATTATGAATTTGGTATGCTCGACGTATCAACGCTCTCTGTCTGTTTGCGTCAAATTGACTTACCCATACGATCCTTTAATGCTTCTTGATGAGCGGACAAATCTCGACTACAAAGAAACAGCTGTTCTACAAGTCGATGATGTACGGGACCCGACTTCAGAATGGTGACAGCAGCCGAAATCACTGTTTTGCTTTGTCCGAGTCAACTCTGACGGTATACAAGCATAGCAAGACTAAAACAAGGGAAACTGAAACTCGTAAATGCGTATTCCTGGCAAGATTGTAGGTGGTACAGCATGTGTGCTGGAATAAATGGAGCAGCGACGACGTCGTCAGTGTTGACAAGGGAGAGTGTACAGATAGGGGATTTTGTAATATATTATATATACTCATATTCTATTTGTAGTGTTATCTTTATTATGCTATACTGTATTTTATGGGGCCAATCATACAAACGATACGCTAATTTCTAGCAGTAAAAGTTGCAGGGATTTAGCGGGATACATTTGCTCGCGCAGGTACGTTACCTTATCTGCTTAGCCTAATAAAGTTTTTACCATCATATCCGTTTACTATTATTACGAACGTCATTATCATACTCTTACCGACACTGAACTATGTGATAAATAGAAAACAGCAATGAGCTGAATTGGTTCGTTAACGGCGCAAAATCAAAGCAGCTCTTTTGTAAAGGACATATGGAAGGTTAACAAAAGCCATGGGAAAAAGACAAGTAGCCCAGCTCACGCATCTGTATAATGTGTACGTAAGTGCTGGTGCGTAAGGCTAAGTATAAGAAGCAAACAGAATGGGGACGTCGTGCTCGACTAAAGAAGCGACGATCAGAAATAATTTTTATTATGATGATGTGGAAAATTATAGGACAGTTTTCCATCTGTGTCCTATCCGATATACTTCGAGTTGTGATGGAAAATAGGACGACTGTGCTAATGATTATCGATGACGTAACGACGCAAATCGTACTGTAATTTGCTCAGTGGTAAACTTCGATACAAATTGAATGTTTCATTTAGCATCTCTCGTACGGACCGGGAACCGCAAAAATTGTTTCAAATGAGAAATGTTGAATTAATATCTATTTGTATATGCGTCCCCTTTGCTTTAGCCGTAAAAATGAGCTACCAAACCTGTCGAAACGACGCTGAGTTTCAGATTAAGGAATGACCTATCCGTCTGCGCAAGTGCAAAGTGTCCTCTAGACCTACCGAATCGCAGACGACGTGATCCTGAAACGACGAAGTAGTTATCATCCAGTTTTTCTATAATATAAAAATGTCAAAATTGATGAACGCTTTAACTGAGCTTAAAAATTAAGCAAAAAGTGAAATAGTCTTACCATCGTGTAGTATATTATTGTAAATGTATTGGGATAGGGCGTTCTAAGGTCCGTCAATGTACTTGGATAGTTTTTAAACAAGTGAATACCGACGCCATGGTAATGTTAGGATATCGCAATGATTTCCGTTCTGTAAGATACCTTGTGTGAGATTTCCACTCAGAGAAAAAACGGTCCGTCATATATATATATGACGGACCGTCTTTTCTCTTATATCGTATATATATATATATATATATGATATAAGTTAAACGGCTAAACGTAAGTTAAACGTAAATGTACACGTAGAGAAAGGCCATTTGGTAGTGTCGTATAGTTGTATCATGGGCAATGACTTAGCAAAAAAAAAAAGAACGACGAGGAAAGTAAACCTTACGTGTCATGTAGGACTTTTTCCACAAGCATAATTGAGAAGCAGTAGCCACTCGGAGAGTGCTGACGCCATATCTGAGTTTCGCTGAAGAAAATAAATTTACAAGAGCCTTTGTTAGTCAGGTGAATGCTGCATTATCGTCGTTTCTCGCTTTTACACAATCGTGTCAATACGAGCTAATGTTTAATACACACAGGAAAGGCTGTTCGTCACAAATTAAGTGACTTTTTTAAGCAGGATTACTTAAATACACATTTCGAGCTTCCCGTCCATTAGTACCCTTGAGAATCGCTAATTGAGATGGCTGACTTCAGCATGAAACGAAGTGCGTTTACGTCTGGTCTTGTGAAGCCATTTCCCTTAAGTGTCCCTACGTTAAATAGGCATATAGTGCTTGACATCGGGGCTGAGTTTGGTTCGGGACTGAAATGGTGTTAGTTACGCAGTATCGGCCCTGGATTTACTTCTTTAGTAATACTTCAAGGCTCAAATCCATGTACGGCGAGTAGGGGCTAAGAGTCCAACGTGAATTGAAAATGTAGGTAAACGAATGTATTATTACAGGTTGTTACAAATTACCTATTGGTGCATAACAATAGCAACATGTACATATGCAGAGCTAGTAGCTTGGCATCATCTATAATAAACTAACATAAAAATACTGTGATAAGCGGAAATTCGTTGCATATCTAGCTTTTACTACCATGCCCTACCGTCTAGCAGTGTATGAGGCTAGGATATCATCTATTTAGCGTAGTAGAAAAAATTTAATAATCTCATGTGGTTTTATGGTTTTTTTTGTATTTCTATTTATGTTACGATAGCGTTTTCGGATGAAAGTTTTCATGAAATGTGCTTTTCTGTTAAGTTCGTTGCTAGTACACCCAGGTCACTTAGCATTATACTCGAATCGTCTAGTTTTAGTAGATCTTGAACGATTCAGTTTACTTGTACGTGTATGGGGGCTAATAGATTACATAACTGATGATGGAAAAAAAACAACGATCCAGCCTAGTATAATAGGTTTACAGTTGTAACCTGGCCGAGCTGATTCATAGGTTCATTGAAAATGTACAGTTGCTTCGCTGAAAATCAAGATTTTACGGTGGAGCACTCAAGAAAGTTCTCAGCTTTAGAAGATGAATCTAAAATGCTGAATTTTATATAGGAAATAAATAGTATATTATGAATGGAGACTACATAGCTATCAGCGCCCATCTTGGCGTACCTGTAGCCATTCGATTTGGCGTCAGAGGTTCCAATTTTTATAGAGAGCTATACAATTATTCTCAGGCGCCTCGTCAAGACATCATTTGTTTCGAGTTTTCATTTGAGAAGCCGTCTTCTATTTGGCGGAGTTCGACGTTCCTCAGTGGCGAAATAGTAACGGTGCTGATCGCCGACAGCTTCCTTCCAATAGTCAAGCGTAGCAGACAATGTGAAAATGTCTCTTAGAAATTTATAATGTTTCTGTTTAGAGAAGCGCACAGACGTTCAGCCATTGACTGATCGACGTTTATTTAGCCGAGGGCACAAGTTACGCCACCCAAATATAGCGCTTCTAATGAGTAGTGATCATGTTCGAAAAGTTCTCCTCGAAGGTAAAATAGGGGGCGCTCTGCTCAGCGGGGCGGGGCGACAGTAACTACCGGATAGAAAATAGAAATAGAGCGGAAATAGAGCAAAGTTGAACTTTGAATGAACAGATGCGCCGCCTGTGAACTTACAGCTGTATAGCTGATGGCCACCGTGCGACCTCGCGATTACTAGCATCCTTTTAGAAAAAAATCACAAATATCATTCGATTCGCCATCTCATGTTGGCTGTCAGTCTTGTCCGTAGCAGTTGTTTGTTGTTACCGGTACGTTACATTTGTTGTACATTGTTAGCCCATCGTATTGTGCCGCTTATTGGCCATGCAGATGTTTGAGCGAGCTAAATCGTCATAACAAATCTCGTCATAACTGCACAGGCGACGATGGTGCAAGATTATGCAAAAGCGCCAACACCTAAAATCAGGTTGATTTTTATTATTCTGCAGTTGAATATTTATATGCATAAGCCACAGTTCAAAAACTGCATCTGTAAACGAATCCGCACAAAAAAGCGGGTACACAATCTGTGCACCGAAATTGAGCATACATGATATATCTCTTCCGATCGGATGAGGCGAGCGAACTTTTTGAAGACGGAGCGAATACATAGAATCAAACAATGCTAAGATTCAGAAATCAAAAAACTCCCACGAAGCTGACAACTGATGCCTATAATAAGTTGAACTGCTGTGGCTACGAACATGGCTACGATAAACAATAGTCATCTGCTTTAACAAACAGAGGATATGTGTTGTCTCATTACCTTGTAGCAGTGGTATCGAACAAACCCTATCTCAGTGCTGCTGCTGTTGAGAAATTCTTCTTATCGAGCTAGAGACAGAGAGCGAAGGCGAGAGAAAATAATATTATTTAGCGTATCTGTAATTTTCTAGAGGCAATGGGAGTTTGTTCGTTGTCATGACAGATAAGTCGGTAACATATTGTCCGTTAATCTCAGGGACGCGTCGTGGTCAACATTCGACATAGACGTACACTTCATTTCGTGCTGGGGCCACCAGCCTAGTGAATGCTTAAAGGCTATCACAGGCACAAACTAGAAACATAGGGAAGCTCTGCCATTAGAAATGGGCATCAACGTATGCCTCACACACACAACGAATGTTGCCAGTAACCTACAGCGTGCTTATCTCGTGATAGCTGCGGTGGTGGTGGTGATGACAGGCTGGAATGGCCTAGGTTCCCGATGCACGAAGGCCAGTTTACACGGGCTGGCACCTGTTGTAACTACTGTGCCATTTTCTCTGGCAAACAAAACATCTGCTATAGTGCTCCTAATGTTGTATGGTGGCATTATTTATGGCTGTTGATGAAATATAGAGACGCTTTTCTATGCTCGCAGGAAAGCCACTGTTGCAGCTATTGTTATGTTGCACGATGCTTTAGTGGACCGCATGGCAAAACTCTCTTCGTCTAAAATTGAGAAAATGGAAAAAAAACTGTATGTGTAATGAAGTGGAAAAATAACTTAGTGGAGAAAAACTTAACCAGTTTCTTAAAAAGGGCACAACCACTTTCAAAATGGAGGCCGTACAAGAATGGGTTCTACACGTCTTCCGTTGGTGCTTAAGTCGCACAGAAGTTTGTGGTACAAGCACATAGCCATAATGCTTACTACTACATTTGCCACATCTATTGCTTAAGTAATTTTCACCCAGTGTATTTCGATAAAAACTATTACGGTCAATCTATTCATCCGGTGTTACTTAAAAAAAAAAACCCTAAAAATCCTATATATACCTTTTTCATATAATCGTGCCTTTTGCGTCGTTTGTGGGTTTGAAACAGCAACCCCTAATTCTCAACGAGCAGTTAGCATTACCCGAGCCGCTGCGTCGACAACTTCAATCAGAATAATTCCACGATAATTTGGGAAAGAAAAAGCTTTCCCAGTAAAAAAACTGGGTCCGCAATCCGTTTTTATGCGTCCTAGATCAACGGATAGGCAACAAAGATGCGTGGTTTGTTCGATGTCAGTTAGCACAACAACAGACGTTGAAGATTTTTTTTCAATGTATCATTAGATGTATGCCTAGAGATATGTTGTTCGATATAACCATAGCTGGCTCTGATCGTTTCTTAAAATTTTGCGCAAAATCATAAATAGATCTTTTTCGAAAAGGTGTCTGCAAAAGATATCTGATCATTGCCTTAGATGACTCAATTCTGGCCTGTTTAGACTCGCTCAGACACGCCCTGCTGTTTAAATGTGACCTGTTAAGCAATAACCAAAAGTCCTTTCTTGGGAGAGGTGCTAGTTCCCGATTCTATTAAAAAAAAAAATAGTTAATTTGAATCCCTCGCCGAAACTTTTCTTCCGCAACGCTGTCAACTTGTGGTATTATTGAGCTTTAGAATTTATCACAGTGAACTCTTTTGTACAATTATGCGATTCTGAGGTTATTTTGGCTGTGGTTCTTGAAAGCACTTCTCTGACATCTGTGGTATGCAGAGTGGACTTGAGGTCTTCACAAACGATGCACCATGCCCGTTCACCGAAAATAATGGTAACATCCTTAAGTTTTTTCACGAATAATTGATGTAATATATCTTCTACTTCTTAGAATAATTTGCCTTAGCGCATGAGCCTCATTCCCAAAACCTTTAGAATTTGCATAAACATTAGCAACGGTCCAAACAATTGGCTCTTAAAAGGGCGTTAATAATCTCGGCGCTTCCAGCCGCCTGCCAATGGTCGACTTCAGTTTGTGTGGGAAAAACGTTGATGATACGATTTTGACGCCGGCTCACTTTCACTGGCAACTACTAGATAACGCAAATTAGTAAGCGACTAGGACAATAGCTCAGGCCGCATATTTTATTACTTGCTTGCGCAGCGCCTCAAGATTTAGCTTCGACGAATCATATCCCACGTTTCCTTTAGCATACAAATCACCAACTTAATATAATCATGTAAGTCCTTTTGAAGGGTACGGCAGCATGTAGAATTTAGTATGCTTAAAAACTTAATCAGTTGTTTTTGACAGAAGACCAGGTATTGGCAATTGACGAACTTTTAGCCTATGGCCAACGCAGCTACCTTCATGATTTGCATGAAGGTGCTTTCATTTAATCTTTTCCCTAATAGAAATGCCCGCAGTGGGTTTCGGGGGCAGTCTGATTGGGCCTTCGGACTGGCCCAATGGGCTACTGTGAATTAGGCCTCACTTCGGCTGTAATCGGCTATGTCGCCCTTGATAGCAGTTACGCTGTTGTTCGGCCCCCGAGCGACTTTATCCAACTTCAATAAGTATGTAATATTTAACTCGTCATTGTCTCACATCGGCTTCCATGTGAGAAGCGGAATCAATCTGCTGTTTGGATGTGCAGTTCGTATAACTCGATTGAAATGGCCAAAGCGGACATTTTTTGTGAGTTAGAAGAAATAATGCTGTTCTCTCTATAGATCCATATAATGACACATCATAGTAGTAATCTTCCTCTGGATCCAACGAAACATCAAAATACTTCATTATTGCTTGGAGGATATCTTCGAAGGGCGGTATTGATTTTT